TATAGCGCAGGGTAGTTTTCCGGCGAATTAACGAGTATTTAATTTGTTATTGCGGGTACCAGATACGTTGCTTTCCTGCTTTCATCACTCCTTCGTGTTATATGTCGATTATGGTCGGTGCCTTTGTTTTGCTATTCATTCATACTGATATTTCTCATCCTATGTTTTTGCCAGCGCATCTGCCCTGTTTTGTAAACAAAGAGTTCGCGCGTACTTTCTTAAACTATTAAATGACCTTTATGCTTACATGGCATGGCCATTGTCTGTTTAGGTTATTAGGTTTTTCCTCCGTCCTTGTGATTTGGCTTGTCTGTTTATGATATTGTGGATGATGGCCGATCATATGTGGCTTAGATCTGATACTATTTTGCAGCTTATTGTGTAGATTAATACCATGTATCTGCTTTATCAATTGTTTGGTCTGTATATGACTCCTGATTGTGTTTCTTTACATCCTGCAGGGCTAATTGTCATATTCTGTTGTTGTCTCTGGGCCTACACTGGATCGCAGTCTTCTTTTCCACTGTTCCGTGCAAGGTAACTATCTCCTTGCTATAATTGGATTTTTGTTCCTGTATATGAATATATGAATTTATGTGCTTCCTTTTTAGCTCGTGCATGGATTGTGTGTGTAAGTGCTTGTTTTGTATGCCTGGCAATCTGTGCTAATGATCTGTGATAGAATGTGCTTAGACTTTATGCATATGTGTTGTCTCTGTTGGGGCATGTAACAAAAATGACAGTCAGCGCATCATCTTTTGGTAGCAATCGCACACGTTAGCTTGCACATGGCTATCTTTCTGCTCTCTTTCCTCATATTTCAAACATTGCTGCCTGTAACGAATTTCTTTTCCCTGTTCTCTCTAGGCTTTATAGGGCTAAGGTAGTTTTCTGCTCTCTTCTTCTCCATCTCATCTTTTCTGTCTTCCCTGTGCTATTCCTTCTGCCTCTGTTGCACACTTTACTTCCAGATTATCTCTTTGCAGTGTTTTAGGGATGCCATGAAACTCTTTATTTATTCCTATTAGTCTGCGTATATTGCTCCATCAGTCTCGGCAAATACCAGACCACCGTATGGACAGGGTTCAGAGAGTTCGCGCGAGTCGAGAGAAACGAGCCGCGAACATTTTGTTGCGCTCATCTGCGATGCGCATAGAAAGCGCCATACCGTTGCCAGCCCAACCTCCCCAGATTCATCGAGCCAAAAAGCCACGTTCGTTGATGGACTTTACTCCAGAGCTATCCAAGCTACATAGACAGCACCGGTCTTTGCTGCGTTCAAAGATGCCTCCTCTCCTTGCACCACAGAATGGTAATACTGTACTGAAAGCACACCTAACAGCGTTCATTACCCTATATATGAGAAGCTACGGCACTAAAATATGATTGCAATGTTCGTTAATTGCAGCTTTAAACAGCAGAGCCTCCGGTAGTTCATCAAGGACAGATAAGGAATACATCCAATCATTGAAAGGTCCGTGTTTTCTGATAAAAAAAATAAAACAATTTATATTGGCCGGTTAAAAGAAATACATTCTCAGATATGTATTGTGCAGCATCATACCCAGGACGGTCGTACTATGGCCCTCCAACACATGAGTGCCCCTACTGTGGTGCAGTCTTCTGGTTTCAGGAGAGAATTAAGACTCTATCTGCTGTGTCAAAGAGGAAGAAAGTTTACAACCTATGTTGTAAGGGTGGCAAAATACAGCTGCATGCTTTCAGGCCACCACCTGAACCTCTCGCTACCCTATTGAAATTTGATGGCGATGCACGATCCAAAAGATTTCTGAGGCAGATTCGATCATACAATTCAATGTTTGCTTTCACTTCAATGGGAGCGACTATTGATAAATCGATCAATACTGGAAATGCGCCTTATGTTTTCAAAATTAACGGTGTTGTGCACCACAGAATTGGTACTCTTCTACCATCGCATGGTGCACGCCCTAAGTTTGCACAGCTTTATATCTATGATCCTGAGAATGAAACCCAAAATCGACTCAATATTTTTGACCGTGACCGTGATGACAACGATAGGCCAGACCCTGAAATCATTGCTGCCTTATCACGCATGCTTGATAGCAACAATAGACTTGTTCAAAATTTCAGATACGTTAGAGACCTTCTTTCTCAGCATGGTGATGAGAAAATAACTCTTCGCTTATTAGGCTGTAATGCTAGAGATGATGTCCAGTATAACCTTCCAACAAGTACTGAAATAACTACCATAATAGTTGGTGACTTTGATGCGAAAGAATACAAATTTGATCTGCTCGTGCACGATAGAGACCACGGAATGCGTCAAGTTTCTTCCTTGCATCCATCATACCTATCTTTGCAATATCCTTTGCTATTTCCCTATGGTGAATCTGGTTTCCATCTAGGCATCGAATATAGTAATTATGATGGGACTGGTAGAAAATATCTCACGATGCTGGAGTTTCATAGATATCTAATGCATTATAGGCTAAATGAACCTAATCCTTTCACATGCTATGGCCGACTGAGTGACCAAGCTGTTGTTGATGTTTTTTCTACTATCGAAGCTAATAGACTACAGTTTATAATCGATCATCAAAAGGAATTACGTGCTGAATCTGTAGAAGAAATTGTAGATGTGATAGATAGAGGTGTTACCGATGGAGATTCAGTTGGGAAACGCCAAATACTTCCTGCTAGCTTTACTGGAGGCAGGAGGTATATGGTCATGAATTATCAGGACGCAATGGCAATCTGTCGCGTCTATGGTTCGCCTTACCTATTTGTGACATTCACATGTAATTCTAAGTGGCAAGAAATCGCTGAAGCAATCCGATTTGAACCCGGCCAGCAGTCATCTGATAGAGCAGATGTAATTGTTCGCGTGTTTAACATGAAAGTCAATGATTTCATCACTGATATTAGAGAGGGAAGGACTTTTGGGAAATTTCTTGCAGGTAGCAGCCAAAATTTATTTTCTGTTTAGTGTTTCACCAATATTTTCCTTATAGTTCCTGTTCTTTAAACCTTTTTAGTTCTGTACACTGTCGAGTTCCAGAAGCGCGAGCTGCCACATATACACTGCTTGGTTTGGCTTGCAGCATCAACTGCTGACATCTCAGCATCTGTGATAGATGGCTTCATCTCTGCTGAGATTCCTGACATTGAAACCGATCGACTAGGATATGAATTGGTAAGCGAGTTTATGATGCATGGTCCTTGTGGCGATGCAAACAAAAAATGTGCTTGCATGAAAAACGACAAATGCTCAAAACATTATCCAAAAGACTTTCAAGATGAGACCATTATTGATGAATCTGGCTTCACAATATACAGACGACGAAACAATGGACGGTTTATAATTAAAAATGGAATTCCTTTGGACAATAGATCAGTTGTTCCATACAACCTGAAGTTGCTTAAAACATACGAGGCACACATAAATGTTGAATGGTGTAACAAGTCAAACTTAATTAAATATTTATTCAAGTATATTACAAAGGGACAAGACCGTGCAAAATATACTTTGAGACAACTGCGAAGACATGAAATATGTCACCAAATCATGACCTCGCTCCTCCTAATGAAATACTAGAATACATGGATGGTAGATTTCTTTCGACATGTGAGGCGTTTCATCGAGTATTTGAGTTTGACATACACTCTAGAGTGCCACCAGTTGAGCGTCTAGCTGTGCATTTGCCTGGGAAAAACTATGTTAGATATGAGCCAGGTTCTGATTTGCGAGCGGTGCTGAATAGCCCTGGTGCGAAACAATCAATGCTAACTGCATGGTTTGAGGCTAATGCAAAATATCTAAGTGCACGTTCATTAACATACTGTGACTTTCCAAAGGAATGGTCATGGGACTCATCATCTAAAACATGGCGTGCACGAACACCAGCTGCGAAGATAGGTAGGATATATTATGTGCACCCAACCTGTGGAGAGCTATATTATCTGAGAATGTTATTAATGATCGTTAAAGGCGCGCAAAATTATGCTGATGTACGCACGTATAATGGCAATGTGTGACTGTCATTCTTTATTGCTCTGTTGGTAACGTACGATCATTGTTTGATAAGTATTGGCTTTACATGACTGATGACATCCATAACAGGCTAAAGAAAGCACTAGATAATCCACAATGCATCATTCCACATGAGCACTTGCTCAATCTCCTCCTGCGTGAACTTACAACTGTTTTTGCAAACAGTGGCGGTAATATAAAAGATTTTGACTTGCCAGTACCTACATCTACCGCACACATGCCCGACAGTAATAGATTAATCGATGAAGAGCTTGCAGCTGATCCACTTATGATGTCCATGCATGCTGACTCTCTGATAGCGCAGCTAAATGATGACCAAAGAAAGATCTTTCACGCTATAGTCTCCTCAGTGACTGCAAACCAGCCTAGCTGTTATTTTGTAAGCGGTCATGGTGGAACTGGCAAGACATTTCTATGGAATGCTATCATTGCAAAACTTAGATCACAGAACAGAGTTGTGCTTGCTGTTGCCTCATCAGGAGTAGCATCACTGCTGCTTCCAAGAGGTAGAACAGCTCACTCTTGATTCAAGATTCCAATTGACATTGATGAAACTAGCATCTGTAATATAAAACGAGGAACTATGTTAGCTAACCTCCTCATTGAAACTGCGCTTATTATATGGGATGAAGCTCCAATGACACATAGGCGCTGTTTTGAAGCATTAGATCGCACACTCCGTGACATTCTCTCTGAAACTTCTCCAGCGAATTCGATCATACCTTTTGGGGGAATGCCTGTTGTTTTAGGTGGTGACTTCCGACAGATATTACCTGTTGTCCCTAAAGGTTCACGTGCCGCTGTTGTAAACGCATCAATTACAAATTCAACTCTATGGAAACATGTCACGCTATTAAACTTGAATATAAATATGAGGTTGCTCAATCCTACCCTTTCACAGAACAAAAAGGATGAAATGCATGAATTTAGTCAGTGGGTTTTGTCTGTTGGGAACGGAACATTGCCTATGACTGCGAGGGAGGATGATGCTCAGCCCACGTGGATAACAATTCCTGATGATCTTCTCATTATGACCAACGACGATAAAATTGCAGCTATTGTGACCGAGGTATACCCCAACTTTCTTACATCATATAGAGACCCAACATACCTTGCTTCATGTGCAATTGTTTGCCCTACCAATGCAGTAGTTGATGAGTTAAATGATTATGTTGTTGGTTTAGTTCCAGGAAATTCAACAACGTACTTAAGCTGCGATACAATATCAAAATGCTCTGAGCAAATACCGGACTTTGACATGTTATACCCACTTGAATTCCTTAATTCTATTAACGCAACAAACTTTCCTACACACAAACTTGTCTTGAAAGAAGGTGTTGTCGTTATGCTCCTCCGAAACCTGAACCAGTCAGCTGGCCTCTGCAATGGAACAAGGCTGTTAGTTACTAGCTTAGGTCAGAGAATCTTGCAGTGTATCATACTGACTGGATCAAACATCGGTGAAACTGTTTACATACCGAGAATCACATTAAGCACATCAAAACTGAAATGGCCTTTTACACTGCAAAGAAGGCAATTTCCAGTTCGGGTTTGTTATGCAATGACTATCAACAAAAGCCAGGGACAAACCCTCGACCAGGTTGGCATATACCTTACAAAACCTGTTTTCACACATGGCCAGCTTTATGTTGCTGTTTCAAGGGCAACAAGTCGATCAAGGCTCAAGATATTGATCCAGAATGATGATGGATCATGTGGAAACCAAACAAGAAATGTTGTTTATGTTGAGATACTTGCAGCGGTGCATCAAGCGGTCATACTCTCGCTATGTTTGTGCATTTCTTGTGTCTTTGCTCCACTTGTCTTGTGCTGTTCATGTGATAGTGGACATTCTTTCTTGCTGCAGGCTATGCCGCTTCAGATGTAGCCTGCTTTTCCTCGCAAGCAAAACATTGTTCCTCTTGTATATACATTTTGGAATAGCTTTTTTGCTCACATATATACCATATACTATGTTATGGCTGCATAGCCTGCCCGTTACACTTAAGTACACTTCATCTTGACTTCCTGTCTCATTCCACTGATGTTCCCTGTTTATATACACTCAGTATCTTTAGTGTTTCATCTTCCAGATTTCCAATGGCGTATGTGCATATTTCAAGCCTTTTCTGTGGGGACACCAACAAGCAAATAAAAGCTCGCGTATCCAGGCTATGGATTTTCCATGATATGAATGATGAGACAAAGATCTACCACACCAACCTTGTCCTGCTGGATGAAATGGTTGTTGTCTACTTACTGCTTCTTTGGTTTACTTTCACTCTTGTATATATCTTGTGGCACACTAACAAAGTATTTTGGGTTAAAAATATGCAGGGCAGCAGCATACATGTTCAGATTTATCCATCTGTGATGAATAGGTTTAAGTCTGTCCTACATGAAGGAAAGGTTTACTACATTGACTCCTTCTCTGTCAAATATGCAAACAGGACATACAGACCAGTCACCAATCTTTTAATGATCTTATTTACCAAATGGACAACTTTAGAAGAATGCATTGATGTTCTTGGTGACTACCCTGGCATAACATTTTCATTGACACCTTTTCAAGATATCCCATCTCTTATCGACAAAAATACTTTCTACATTGGTATGCTCACTTTACATCATGTATTCTTGCTATGTTTCTTTCACATCCTTGTGTCCCTTTATTAAACTTATTTGCTTTCAAACCAGATGTCATGGGTGTGATAACTAAGATTAGTGACACAGCTACTGTGCGCCCTAGATCAAGCAACACTAATAGCTTGAAACGAACAATTCAAATCTGTGAAGCAAGGTCAGTTACGCTATACGCTTACTTTCCTTTTGATATAAGCTGTCCTAGCCTCATAACATGCACGGTAGTCATCCTGCCAAGCTCACAGTATCTAAGCTGAAGAACTTTTTGGCCACTTATAAAAACAGCAATTCAACACTCCATATCACGCTCTGGGGAAAGACAGCTGCTGCCTTCAATGCAGAAGAAGTGCATAAGGCTGGGCAGACAAGGCCTCAGGTTGCTGTCTTTGTTGGGACACTTGTTAGAAACTATACAGGCATAGGTATATGTCTACAAACATATAAAACTGCTATTCTATCCGTCTAATAAATTTACAATCTATAACCATTTATATGATTATACACAGGGCTAACCTTAACTGGAAGTTCACCATGCAAATGGTATATTGGTCTTGACATGGTTGAAGCGCTTGAGCTAAAACAAAGGTAGTACTGTCAGCCCTCATTCTTTCTCCAGTGCCTATGCAATCCTCTGCTTACAAATATAGGAGTAGTACACCACTTATGAATTTGTCTTTTTCCTTCTAGCTTTGAAGCAAATTTCCAGCCTATCAAATGGGTCGAAAATGCTGCAGCGGGGTTCAACCAAGACATTCCATAGGAAAAAACCATAGAACAGATCCTTGCTCTCAATCCACATAAACATCAGGTTTCTTTTCTGCCCATTTACTACTGAATACATTCTTATCCTGCCTATCTATCTTTTCAATGAAGCCATCCTTGTTGCAGCAAGAACGTTTTATAGTCAATGTGACTATCAAAGACATAGCAGGCGACAGTTCCTGGTATTATAATTCATGTGATCTCTGCTACAGGACCTCCAAACCATATGGTTCAACATATAGATGTACAAGCTGCTCATATGTAGGCATACCAGTGCCAAGGTAAAGAATATACTTGAGAGGCTATATCCATGGCTTCGGGAAACTCTTTAAAATACTTTCATTTAACATGCAGAAACAAGATCCTACTTACCGCTGCTGATGACACTGGCAAGGCCACGTTTATTCTCTTTTGAAGAACAGCACAGCGTGTCATACGTAAACCTGTTGAGACTCTTATTGACCAAAATCCACCAAACAAGGAATTTATTCCAGACGAAATCACAGCCCTCATCAACCAGAGCTTTGTCTGGAATATCAGCTTCACACAGGATGCTTTCATGAAGAACCAAGAATCCTTGCAAGTAAACAGCGTTGTTTCATCGGCTGGTCCAATACAGCTGATGCTGTCTAACTCACCACCACCTTCAGAGCAAACGTTGGCTATTATCCCAGCAAGCTCAAGCAGCTCTGTAGAGGGAGCATCAGCAGAAAGCAAAAAAAGCACTGAATCAAAGATAAAGGCCAGGGCAAAGGAAACTCTGTTAGCGCTACATACTCTAGTGACACCAGTGAGGCATATTGTTAGGCCTCGATCAGAGCAGACACCAACTAGCAAGCTTAATGTGCCATCATCAGGGAAGAAAAGCTATGTTTTGTCAGTCTCTCCAATACCAGTCCATACCACGCAGATTTCATCTGACAATAAGGTCTGTAATTCCTCTGCATGCCTTTTTTTTTCCCATCATATATAAACTCACATTTTCATGTTGTGTATAAGGCAACAACTGAGGCAGAGGGCAAAGCAAAAGCTCCACAGCCAGCATCCTCTGTTGAACTGTCCCCTCCAGATGTCGAGCATAAGGTATCAATCGATATCCCTGCTTACCATTCAGCCTTCACAGACTAACAAAATAAATTGTGGTGCAAGGCAAAGGCAGCACACCAGCTCCTACGAGATTTTCCATCTACAGACCCATCATTACTTGCTAAAGACATCCAGAAGAAAAGGTACATTTTCATATCATTTCCTGCCTAGAATGTCATTCTTTCCTTACGAAAAATGTAACCGCTGTCTGCTAAACAGAGACAGGCCTGCAACATCAGCTCCAGCCGCTAAGAAGCTGTTCAGAGACAACGCTCCCAGCAAAATTGAGAAAAGGTGACCATATCAACAGCCATCTGAAACATATGCAAAGCAACATGCATAAGCGAATACATATTGCTGACCTATGTTTTCCTCTACTATTTATGCAGGCAGTGAACAATGAAGTGGCAGCATGCAGCCAGCTAGCACCGCTTTTGCTTAATGATGCACCATAGTATCAATGTCTGCACTCATATTTACAGGCATGACTTTTGTCTAGGGGCTCTTACGCATGATGGCAGCTATACATAGCTGTTGCTATATATGCTAGCTACTCTTGCTATATTCTCTATGATGTACATATAGCTGCACTTTCAATCTACCAGCAAGCAAGGCAGCTCTAGAACATATGCTACTTTCTTCATGTTCTGAACTGCCTTCCTAGTCAGCTTTCATGTATGCATGAGCTGTCTCCTCTATGTGTAATTATATGTTTTATTGCATGCGAACCAGTAGCAGTGCTCTCTGAAGACCATATATTCATTGCTATGGCATTGTCTCAGCACCACCAATTTCTGTATCATGCATTTCATACTTCACATATAAAACAAGGCTACGTAATCCGCTATTATCCAAGGATAGATAACTGCTCTATTTAAAGTTTATACACTGAATCAGAGCAAACTGTCTGCTCTATATACCTTAGCTACGATCTATCGTAATCTTCTATATATATTTCCTCAGCTATCGTCCTATCATGCCTTCCATAAGATAACTGGTTTTTTTTCTTGCAAAGCATAAATATAAGATCCATATATAGCAGGCAATGAACTACTATTCTATCAAATCTTTCCAGCCGTAGATAGGAGAAGCAACATGCCAATATCCAACACTGTAAGCAGAGCCAGTATGTCCACAATCTCAGATAAAAAAACAAAAAGAAATTCCTTACACTTCCTCTCAGAAATTGCCACATGTATTATGTCCTTCCTTACTTTTCCACACATGAAATAAACTCCTCTTCCACATACTGATACAAACTCTGACATTAAATCTCCTTTATGGTTCTTAAATGTACTACATTCATTTCCAGCCAAAGAGGCATAGTTAAACACTGATATATTGCAGTCTAACACATCCAGCTATTATACAGCCTTTACTTGCTACGTACCACCATCTCACATTAATATTACACACCATACAATATAACTAATAAAAGTTATTTCTACATTTCTTCTTCCACACCTTCCACCATACATCTTTCTCATCAACCTGATGTTTTTTTGTCATCAACGGCCACCATACTTCAAACTCCAATCAGAATCAACGCTGACAACGAAAGAACTACCTCCTGAACTGCTGCTTTCGTCGCCATCTTCCAAGCCATTTAAAAAAAATACATATATAGATTCACATTTCGAAATTTCAGATGTAAATCAGCTGGCAAATGAACAAATCAATAATACTTGCAATATGTTGCAGTCTAGCTTGCCTTTCAAAGGCTTCTCTTACAACATCCGGATCTTCGTATAGCTCATGGTCTTCACCTATAATTTCAACAGATTACTTCTAAAAGCATAAACAGATCTATTAACAATTGATTTAGATATGCATTAGCTTCACAGTTTGATGGTAGTCTAACCTTCGTTGCCAAGGCCCATCTGTGGTTCAGCATATAAACATGCTTCTAGCTCCAGCATGAACAATTTGATTCGAACCCCATCAGCAGTTTCATACTTCAGCTTAAGATATTTATATCTTGGGATTGATTCTATGCTGCGTGCAAACCCACAAATGCAATATTCTTTTTTTTCTCTGCATCAAACCTATAGGTTTGTGCATCGCAGAACGATGACACCAGACTCTCCATTTTCGTTGGGTGGCTCGCATGCTCAGGGACATCCAATCTTCAGTGTCTATGCCGTACTCATCGCGCCACTCCACATCAGCATTAACAACTGAAGCATTCTCCATTCTACCGGCAATGATATCATAGATAAATAAAATTCAATAGCCCATACAAGACATAGCCAATCATATCAACAAACACTTCTTATAAAATACCAACATCTATCTAGCCATTTATAACCCAGCCACAGTTCCGGATTACATTTTAAAACCATATGCCTTCAATCTTTCCTCTGCTATTGAGTGCAAACTTATCACTCAACATTGCTACATCTAAGAAGGCAATCTTTTGTGTATGGAACTGACCCCTCCTTAGTACCAAACAACTTCGCACCATCTTGTGACTTAAACAAAAGGATATAGGATTGGTTAAATGCATTTACATTTTTCTAATACTCGCATCGCACTAGTGTTGCTACAGTCAGTACCATAGCGCTAGAGCTATGTGAATCCAAGTTGCTCTCTACAGTCGATGAAATAAATTAAAAAAAACACACACATCAGCCATACTACATACCGAGACATTATGTTGCAAATAAACTACATGAAAACACCAAACGATCCTATCATCCCATTCACTGGCAGTGAAAAACCTTACAAACCTTGACGCGGTGATGCGACACCCCAGATTCCACTCCTCCCTGTACGTTCCCCAAAATCGCAGCCTAACCTCCACCTTCAACTGCCCTAGATCACGCTCCAGCAACAAAAATCCTTCGGATCTACACGCATCGGTGCACGCACCAGTCACCACCAAACAGCGGAGCAAAGGCAGCGGAACTTCCGATGAGAACAATGGAACGAATGAATATCAGCCGTACAAAAAAGGCAGAAATAGGGCATCCCAAAACAGAAACCTAAAAAGCCCATATACAGCCTCTATGTCCATACTCGCAGGCCCATAAAGCCCATGCACCTCTCTCCTAATTGTCTGCGCAGTCGCAGGTAGGCCATCATCCTTTCGCTAGCAACATACTATACAACATAGTGGCTGCACATTCAGTTCTGTCCAGCACTGCCAAACAAGTGCTGCGCGCAACGCGCGCGTTCGCCCCTAGTTCCCTTAATCACTTCATCAACCTCCTGCATTGTGAAAGGTCTTATCATGTTTGTTTTCTCCTCCTCCGAAAGTTTCAGTCCCGTCTCCCATACATGTTCACTCAAATGCACATTCCTGCATCCTTCCCTTCCAAACAGATTCTTATAATAGTCATATATGTTTCTGAATTTGAGAGAACTCAGAAATTATATCTTCCCCATTCTGAAGTGAAAAAAAAATGTTTCTTCCTTTTTTTCTCCCATTAGCCACCCCATGAAAGAACAGTGTGTTAGCATCCCCTGTAAGATCCATTTCTCTCCCCCATCTTAACTGCCACTAAATCTCCTCCTAGAAATAAATCTTCTCTACTTCTTTTTTCCAGATCATACCTTTCTATCCATTCCTGTTCAAATAGATCCCTTTCATCAGCCTTTGAATCAATTTCAATCAGTCTCTGCTCAATCTTTTTTCTTCTCTTTTTTGTATCACTCAACATGTTGGCACCCCACCCTCTTAACCATCTCCTCATGCAAGGCATCAGGAGATGCCAGTAATCTAAAACCCCTTTCTGAAGTCTCATAGGCCAGCACCCCTTCAGCTGATCCCTAAAACCCTATTGTTGGAACCAGCCCATATCATATCTAAAAGAATTGCTTTTGCATCTGTCTTCCTCTCTGGTGTCCAGCAAAATGGGACGGTGATCAGACCCCACCCTTAATAAAGAACAAACTAAGGTGAGTGGATTTTTTTTTATCCCATGAATTAGAAGCAAAGACTCTGTCAAGGACCACCATAACTGGACAATTTTGTTTATTTGTCCAGGTAAACTTGCCACCAACCCTATGAAACTCTTGAAGACTATGATCATTGATGAACTTATTAAACATTTCCATCCTTCTCTCATCTACAATCCCATTAGATTTATCTGAGCTATATATGTATATGTTAAAATCACCTCCCATCAAGAAAGGGTACAATCATTGAGAAATTTCATCCCCCATTTTCGCCAAAAAAACATCTCTCCCTTCCTGGTGTGCAGGTCCATATATATACTATTAAAACATATTCATGTTACATTTATTGAACCTAATTTTATATTGTGGATGTTACTAGTTTTTTTCTACAAAATTAGTTAAACTTAAAAAAATTAACTGGGAAAAAAAAATCAAAGTGACTATAGATGGCCATATGGCCCGAGATCCGTGGCCTATCCCAAGGCACGCCATTTTGGCCCGGCCCAAGCATGACACGGCCTGACTGGGGTCGCGCCCGTGCTGACCCGGCCCGACAGTCGGGGCGTGCCTAGGCTACACCCTCAGCATGGTGGGCCGGCCCGGTATGGCACGATAGAAGAAAATAGTATAGGGACGAAAAATATACTTAAATAACCATAGAAGGCATGGCCCAAATAAAAGAGGAATACAAAATAAACTTATTTTCCAGCTATATGAACATAGCCCATAGAGTTTAGGGATGAAAATTAGACTTATTGTATGGAGAAGCACGATATACTGTCGTGCCTTCGGGCCGGCCTAGCACGGCTGGAGTCGTATTGGGCCGTGACTGGGCCATGTGTGCAGCACGTGGGCTGGCACAGCATGGCCCGGCATGTCGGTTGGGCCGTGCTAGCCCAATTAACCTCGGCCCAGGCGGGCCTAGACCATGCTGTGTCGGACGGCCCATATGGCCGACTATAAAAGTGACTTATATAATATGAAATGGACGGAGTAGGTGCTAAACGGCTAAACTATGGTGGAAGCATTCAGCTTGTGCAAGTAACAGAAATAAAAATCACCAAGGCTGGGCTCGATGAGATCATGAGAGATTGACATGTCAACGGACGCGAAAACCAGGCGAGGCCTCGCCGCGGCGACCAGCCGGCGCCGGGGAGCCGAACGAGCCTCGTCACGCGGTTCTCCAGCGCAGCAAGACCACCGACGACTCGACTACCATGTATTCCCTGATGATCTTGGCGGGCTCGGCGCGGCGGCCCCCCGCTGCGATCTGGAGCGCCGCGTCCATGGAGCCGCTCTTCTCGGCGCCTTCTCGCCATGCTTCCATGGTTCCTCCTCCTCCCATCTGCCGCCGCAGCACAGCAGGTTTTCCCGTGATCCTAACTCCAACGTGCAAAACTGCAGATTACTACGTTCTAGAAACACTGAAATCAACTGCGCGTGAAAATTTAGCGAAGAGGTGTCTGCGGCGGCGGCGACGCGCGAGCAGGAGCAGACGCTGCGCTTATTCCTCCAAGACATCGAGAGATCAATCGTCTTCGGAATCTGCAAGAACCCCGAAACAACGGAGTTCTTCCGGGACCACCGGCGACGGCTCGACGACTACTTCGCCGCCGCCAAGAACCTGCTGCAGATGTTGGAGCACCCCGTCTTGGCGTACGGTGATCTGCACAACCGCGCAAAATCCCTCCTCGTCACGGCCATGGGCTCCCTTGCAGTGGAGTTGTGCCACCTCAAGATCTGGAAACCTGACGCTCTGGCAAGTTATCTCGGTTGCACACCTACATCTATCTGGGAGCTCGCGAGGTCCAGCTGCCGCGGAGGCGGCGACGGTTCTGGCTCTGCCTCGTCAGCCTCATGGATGAGTACCTCTCGCTCCTGCTCCGGCGGTAGCAGCGGCCCAAACGGTGTGAGCTTTGACGGATATTACATGGCACTCAGTGAGGAGAGAACAGTGCGAAGTGGCCAAGCTTCGTCAGTTACGGCCAGTCACATTGACCTCAAGTCAGTGTCCATCCTCAACAAGATTGCTGATTTCATGATTGGGGTCGGACACGAACAGATGCTCCGAGGAGCTTTCGATCAACACAGTGAGCATCTGGTCAGGTTCGTATATTTATTGATTCAGTATTTCTGTTGATCGGTTGCTTGATCTTTTTGTTTCTGCTAGCTGATTGATTGCAGCAATCGTTTGTCCTGCACAAGTTCTTGCAGCCCCAAATAATTGTACCTAGGCAAATACAGTAATTAAATTGTACTACCTATTTCTTTAACTTGATTATTTATACGTTTTGTAAACTTTATTTCGTTTGTGATCTTGACTAATATGGAACAGGTACATTGAAATTCTTGACATTGATAAAATTTTGGGTAACCACATGGAGGAATCCACAGAATTGCTATTGAAGGTCTGGACATCGACAATGCGGACTGTCTTTAGTGTTCTAGATGAGATGCGAACGCAGTTGAATCAGAAAGACCATGGAACATTCAGTTCACTAAAGGTGGACTACTTCTCTGCAATCGCTAAGGAATCAGTCATGAAGCTGCTTAACTATGCTAATGCAATCTGCATTCAGGTGGGTCCAAATGATCCTTCCTGCAGGGATACTCATGCATCAGTTAAGCATTTTCCATCCAAAATGGTCAATCTGTTGATTATGTTCCAGGCATTGGAGTATGCCAAGATGGAAATCTTAGATTTGTTCTTGGGTCAAACTAAGGGTCCCATTTTAATGGAAATTGAAAGGCTTACAAATGGATTGTCAGCAGTTTTTCTTGTGCTGTTGGTTGAACTAAATGGTTTGCTCAGGTCACAACATTTGGTCATTTCTAACACGGGTGTCCATCATGTTACACAGCATATTATGGGTCTTATGCGGTTGCTGGTTGAACAAAAGGACAAAGTCCATATGATGCTAAACGATAATCCAGATAAATTTGGTCAAGTAGTGACTCAACTGATCTCATCCTTGGAGTTTATGTTGGACATGAACTCTAGGAGTTTGGCACTCCAAGGGCAGCAACTGGTGTTCCTTCTGAACAATATAAACTTCGTGCTTGAGCAAGCTAACAATTATACTGATCTGAAGCTGATTCTAGGAGAAAGCTGGTGCTTGCAACGCCATGTCCAACTTGATCAGTTCTTGGCAAGCTATGTCGAAGCTTCTTGGACACCTGTGATGTCATCATTCATAATAACTCGAATTCCTAAAATTTTATGGCCCCAGCAATTGTTCGATAAGTTCAATTCTCGTTTTGAGATGACCTACAATGTGCAGAAGACATGGAAGGTCACGGATCCTGTGATTCGACAGAAGCTGCGTGAGAAGATCACCCAGAAGGTTATCCCATTGTACCGAATGTACTTGGAGAGCTACTCGGACAAGAAGCAAAAGTCTGCGAGGTTCAATGTTGAGCACCTTGAGGCTCGATTGCTGGAAATATTCGAGGGGTAAATGAAAGATGTGTCTGTGCAGTAAATGAAAGACATTTAGGACGATGTGTTACTGTAAAAAGTTGTGGGTGAACTTCTTGGATAGTACTATTGTTTGAAAGACTTAGATTAATGCTCTACTAGTTTACTTAATTGGAAAATGTAAATATTTTGTTTTAGAGGTAAGACTACTCAAACAAGTATTCGTAAATTTACCCCTCCTTACTTTCCAGGGTTGTACTTGTAATTGAAATACTATACATTTTTTTTCTCTAAATGATACTACCTCCGTTTTTAACATATAATGCAAGTTGATTTTTTAATTCATTTGATTAATTCTCTTTGAAATATTTATGCAAATAAACAAATATATAATGCACATTTATAATACTTTTGATGGCAAATTTAGTGATACTTTTCCAGTTTAGTTACTTATTAATTAAGTGATTGAATAAATATTATTAGTCAAATTTGAATAAAAGTTGACAATGTCCTATATTAAAAAACAAGTATAGTAACCAATTACGAAAATTTGGCAAGGGGAAAGGATGAGTCCAAATTGCTACAACCACCAAATCTGATGTGAGAGAGATTTTTTTTATTTCTATTTTTTTTTATTTTTCTACTACTTGAAAACGGAGTCATCCTTCTCCTTCCTCACCATCATTGTTCTTGCAGAACGATACTACCCCAGCAAAACAATACGTGCCCCTTTAATTTGAACGGAAAACATAGGATTCTTTTTAAGATTCATCTTTTTTCTATATGATCCTTTGAAACTTGAAAACTATTGAATCCTATAAAATTCCTCAGGAATACCGCAATCCATACAAGTTTTATAAGATTTTTAACATAAGGTCCCACCTCACGGAAAGTTTCCTATGACTCTATCTGTCCCATCCAATTGCTACATTTTTCCAATCCAATCAAACAATCTTCTGTTTTGAGCTTGAATTCAATCGTATGTTTTTAACTATTTCTCCCTTTTTCTCGAGGACAATGCTTTCTATCGGACGCCTGATTCCCGGAGAATAAATCGGGTGCTGCCCTTGGAGCGAGGTCACGAAGCATCTTTCTGTTAGCATTAAAAGCCATGCATCCATCCCTCTCCCTCTCTTTCTTTGCATGCACAGAGCCACAACCACTCTCTCTTTCTGCATACATGCATGTAAGTTGCTACTTGCTAGTATGGTTTATATAATTTTTTCTCTTAAAATATTTATCTGATGTGCAATCGAATTACATTATTATATTTATTATAATTAAATTTTTATAACAAGACCTCACATTATTATATTCTAATCAAAGAAAATTACATGCTTCATATGTTAAAATTTGATGTTTCATACGTTAGAGAGAAATGTTTCAACTTTCAACAACCCTCTATGTGTTTCGATGATGTTTCAATAGCACTTTCTGATGTTTCACTAATGCATTTACAAAAGTTGCACTCGATGTTTTTGATGTTTTAGTAAGTATTTTATAATGTTTGATATTTTTTTATCAAAATATAATCATGTGATATTTTGTTGTAAAGATTTATTTACAATAAATATAATGGGTACAATCAGAATATATATTAGATAAATACTTTAGAAGAAAAAAAATGATTCAAAAGCTTGTTTAGAAAGTTGATAGAGAGATAGGAGTATATCACGTAGGGGTATAACTACTAAACAATATATGGTATGGGAGTTTGTATGAGCATAATAGCGCTAAGGGCACTCACCGTGCGTATGCATATCTTGCAGGGAAGAGCATCTGATTTGTGAGAAAAAAAAATCAGAGTGTTCAAGTAGCCTGTAAACAGTGGTGAAGCCATCGAGGGTGTTGGGTTGGCATGGCACCCCAATGCCACCCCACCCTGGGTAATTAGCCACCAGTTTAGCATATAATGTCATGGGATTAGCTGCAAAATAAAGCAGCTAGCTAGCTGCCCAATATTTCTTCCTTAGATTACTTGTTTACATTATTAATTAAGAGAAAAATCTAATAAATGTCATTGACAAGCTGCCCAATAGTTCTTACTTAGATTACTTGTTTAAATTGATTAGTCAATTAAATTGGTGTAATATAGCGACCTTATTTTAAAATGGTATTTTTTAGATATATTCTACTGTTCATATAGACATATATGAACAGAAAATGTGTGTTGAAAGACGTCCAGAACCACATCAAGAAACATCATATAATCCTTATAATTATAAAAGGTCATTGGACATATTAAATTTACTAGTTAGGTACCCATGCGTTGCAATGGGAAATATTTATATAAATTCATATATACTCTATCACTTGTCTCTCTCTCGCCCCCTCTCTCTCGGGCCGTCGGCGCGGGTCGAGCGGCGGCGGCAGCGGGTGGTCGACGTCCGTGGCCAGACAGCATGGGTCGGCTCCGGCACGATGCTCGACGAGGTGTACTACGCCATCGCCAACAAGACCTCCCGCCTCGGGTTCCCCGAAAGTGTCAGCCTGACGGTCGGCATCAGCGGGTACCTCAGCGGCGGTGGCTTTGACCTGATGCTGCGGAAGCACACGGCCTCGCCTTCGACCACGTCCACGACGCCACCATGGTGGACACCAAGGGAAGGCTCCTCGACAGGCCGCCATGGAGGAGGACCTCTTCTAGGCCATCCGAGGCGGAGGCGGCGGAAACTTCGGGATCGTCTTGTCCTGGAAGCTCCGGCTTGTCCCCGTTCCGGCCACCGTCACGGTGTTCACCGTCCACCGCTCAAGAAACTAGTCTGCCACCAACCTCCTCATCAAGTGGCAGCGCGTGGCGCCGTCCCTTCCCAACGACACCTTCCTCCGCGTCGTTGTGCCCCTGTACCTCGGCACACGCGCCGGCCTCGTCGCCGCCATGGCCGACACCTTCCCGGAGCTCAACGTGACGGTGAGCGACTGCACCGAGTGACGTGGATCCAGTTCGTGCTCTACTTCGTGTTCTACAGCACGGGGAAGCCATCGGAGATGCTCCTGGACAGGGGCAACGGCATCGGAGATCCATTGGGGTCATGGATGCGATTGGCGAGGTCGTCGTAGTGGTCGATCGGGCCGTTGTCAATGAAGAAGTCGACGCCATCGCCGCCGCCGCCTCGCCTCGCTTCCTCCGCAGCCACGCTCTTCCATTGTCGCCTCGCCTCCTCTGTCGTGCTTGCGAAGCCGACCTCGCTGCCGTAGCCTCGCCTCATCCCGAGCTCCGCCTCCAGCCTCCTCCGCCACCAGCCACCACCCTCATCCCGAGCGCCATCCCGACCAGTGGCGGAGGCGGAGGCGGCGGCTGGAGGCGGAGTTCGCCGCCGCCGCCTCTGCGTCCCGTGTGGTCGCTGCCTCCGTGTCCCTTGCCGCCGCTGCTCCCTTCCGGACCACAACGCCAAACGCCTTCCTGCCGCCGCACCGTGCGTGCTGTCTTGAGTGCCGACATCCGCACCGCCGTCCTCACCGATCGCCCGTCCCTGCGCCATCCTCACCGACCGCCCACGCCCACCGCCCGTCCTTGCCGTGCGCGCTGCAAGAGAGAGAGAGGAAGAGCGAGAGAGGAGAGAGAGAGGAAGAGGGGAAGAAGAGTATGATAGGTGGGTCCCACATTTTTTTATTAAATAAATGCTGAATAGCTACTAAGTACATAGACTTTTCTATAAACTTAATTAAACTTTTAAGAAGTTTGACTGCAGAAAATCAAAACGACTTCTAATATGAAACGAAGAGAGTATTAATTTAAATCCATAGCTAACTGTAGTTTTTTTTTCCAGAGCACCATATTTACAATCTCAATTCACAATTAAATTTTACAAGAGTGTATAAAATATAGACAAACAAATTCTCCCCAGGTTTCCACACATGACAAAGAAGTTCAACCGATTTCATCACATTGTGCCAGTAATCAAATCACAGAAATCTAACAGTTCACACATCACACTCATATTGTACAGGACAAAAATGTGAACCGATTCCATCACACATCCAATCAATACCATTCAAAATCATAGTTAGTCAGTTAGTGGCCAAGTTCAGTTGGTGGAACTCCACATAAAGATTCAAAGTGCAGACCTAGAAGGTGTATTAATCAGTGAACAACTGCTATAGTTACATCACAATATATCGCAGAAAGGTACAGAAAATTATTGGACAAGAGATTATATGAATAGATGCAAACATATTAATTCCATGAGAACAACTGTATTGCCAATACAGATTACTGAAACACCAATAGTAGCAGGAAGTTCCACATCCTATCTAATTTCAAAATATGGTATAAAATAATATTTGCAGATTTAAACAGAATTTCTGCCCAGAACATGAATCCCAGGGATATAAATCTGATTGTTCTAATTGGTCCTCTGTGACCCTTATACATGTGAACGCATATTTTTTTGCTTTCATCCCAAATCCTAGCTAAGATCTGTATCTAAAGAACAAGATGCACGGGCATATTACTACGTCGTTGACCAGGGGATCATCCTCCAAGTATATGACTTCAATAGTCCAAGATTTTTAATTTGTCACTTCTAAACCTTTGAGAGAAAAATAGCCCAGCAAACAACGGCACATTTTTGTGCTAATGCACTGTTATTTGAATGCAATTTTTTAAAAAGGAACTAAAGCATGGCTTGCTTAAAATAGGTCACATTTTATGAGCAAAATGATCACGTTTTAAAAAAAGAAAAAATAATCGGGCGTTTGTTAATAGTAAATCATTAAATTTCTCAAAAAAATTATATATTTGCAAGAGGGCATAAGAAAGGAAGACATGGGCGAAATTAGCATGCAAAGAGTGCATCATTTGAGTCAATAACATGCACATGGCTAACCTGATTTTGTACTTGATGGTGTGGAGCCCCCAACAATCTTAACCATTTCTGAAAATAAATGAGATGATAGATCAAATATTATGAATTTGTGAAACAACCAACAGAAATATGCAGTGCACACGTTTCATTGATGACGAGGCTAGCATCTTATTATGCATCTGTTTGATAGATCAAAAATAGAGAGAAAATAGTGAACAAAAAAGAATATCAAACTACTCCCCAGGTTTCCTCACGTGACAAAATAGTTCAAACGATTGAATGGCATCTCATTGTTCTAATTGCTCCTCTATTTAAGTATCTTAAAAACAAGATGCAATGGAGTGAGACACTCAACTTTCGAGTCCTGATAGTACATCTCAAGAATTTTAGAACAATAGTAAAAGCTCGAAAATTCAGCAGTAAACTTTCAAGTGTACAGGGCATCTTTAGAAATTCATAGTGATGATAAAAACTCAGCATAGGAGCTTCATGTATTCTGGGCTTCAGATGCACAAGACTTCAAAGCTCCTATTTCTGTATACATGACAGGAGATCGACAGGCTTCCTACAGCTTAAATGCTAAATTATTAGTGTGTAATTGGTGCCCTCATAGACCCATTGAGAAACCCTTCAAAGATGCCTGCATGTTGCCAATGCAGATTCAGAATGTTGACCTAAAAAGAGAGGTGTTCTCCATTTGAGTTCAGAGTTTGTAATCGCACCAAGAGTCTTAAGACTGAAGCTAAGTTCATTCAAATGCTATATATATATGACATTCCCTAATCACTCAAGGCCGAGGACTTATTGTTCATGTTTAGATAGGAGTTTGAAGAGATCAATTAGCTAAAGGCACTTTCTTACGTATGTTTGCTGATTGCAAGAAGTGGCAGATCCGACAAAGAAGTAGCAGATCCTCCCAATCACTCTCCTAGTCTCCTTATCCTGCAAATCAAGACCATATCATTACTTCGTTAGTTGTGCAAGGACAACATTCCAGGTTCCTAAACTGACCATTCCAGGTTGCAAAGAAGACCATATCAGCAAGAATTTTTTTTCTTTTCAGCAACAGAGAATATGTCAGTACAGTTATTTATAGGACAGTCAGCAATGGTCCCAGGGGAATGGTTAATTAATCAAACTGAAGACGAAATGTGATAGCATCAAAATCTACACGCTATGCCATATCTGTTCCGCAAACAATAGATACAGTTGATCCTCTCCTAGCGATAGTGTATATGCAAACAGTGAAAGTATTCAGAGCATAGCAAAAGTCTTCGAGCTAAGAACAGTACAGAGCTTAGCAAAAGTATTCACGAAACATCTGCTTGTAACACATGGATGGATCTTGACTGCAATTTAAGGCCAGTTCATGAACCAATCAAGCATTCCATGCATTAATTATATCTAGCTAAGGACCAGTCATGACACAAAGTATTTGTCACACACAATTAAGATGAGAGGGAAGAAATAGAATAATATTTATAGCCTTTCAATGTGAAGCCCAGTAATTTTCTGGCATCGTAGAATTAATAACTGATCTACATGGTACCCAAAATATATAATTGGACATGTCACAGGACACTGGATCAAAGGTCTATGTGAATCTAGATGTACTCAAAGAATATTGCAGAGACATACCCACAATAAAGATGAAGAAAAAAATCTCACAAGATCAGAAGAGAGGAGGAAAATAAATAAGGATGGGAAAAATGCTGGGTTATACCGTGAAATGAGCAGATGGCAGTTGACTATGTTGTCCAAGCAGAGATGGGCGACGGTTGGTGAGGCGTTGTTGCAGGGTCGGGTCGGCCGGGTTCAACAGAGATGCACTCCCAAATTTTATAAGAACTTGACTAAGTAGAAAAATAACCGAAGTATCATTGGAGCAGTAAAGAATAAAAGAAATTATTCTTTGCATGATGAGAGCAAAAAGTCTGATTTTTATCTGCGACAACAGTTTAAATATACTGAAATAAGTAGCAATAACTTGAATGTCATGATCATTGTGAGACAAATTATGCAGATATATAAATTGTATAAATAATCAATTTGATTTGATTCATGAACATAAAGGAGGGCCTCTGAAACTGTTAGTTGCTGTATTTTTTTAGGGAGAGTGAAACTGTTAATTGCTGTTATTGTTTTCCTGGAGCATCAATCAGTTCATGACTTGCGCTCCTTCATATTCAGTTTTATGCAAATTTGTACACACCAGGCAGACTCACTTTGAAGCAGTCCAATAAATTAACTTCTGCTAATCCTAAGTAATAAACTTAAAATAAACCATGATTAGCAATTTTACAGAAGTGAACAATGTTGGCCGATGTCTGAAGAAACTGACAAAATCCCATTGCTGTTTTATTGTTCCAGTTAAGCGAAGAAGGTTGATGTGCCACTACTTCAGAGGATTCTTCACATAATTCACCAGGCAAGCATTATAGTGCTTCGGGGAAGATTGCACCACTCCAGACATTTTTTTTTTAGAAAATGGGATAAACCCGGCCTCTACATCGCCAAACCACTCCAGATAATGAGCGATGGTACTCGATTATTGCAATTGTTTGACTGAAAAGTTAATTTGGGACCTCTGCTGTATATATTAGGCCAATGTATGATTTTCCACTAATTATGATATCTGATTCTCTACTATATTCAGCACCTTTATGATATACATGCTTCACTGGTAAAAAAAATTGAGCAGATTTTCATGTGGCAGAAGGGAGGGGGCCTGGCGGCGAGGCCTACCCCGGCAATGGACTGCGGGCCGAGTAATTAGGGTTGGGTAGAGAGAGAAGAGGGAGGGGGGGGGAGGTTGGGGTGAGGCAGGAGGGGACCTGTACCTATAGAGGGAGACTGTGGCGTCGAGGACGGAGGCGGAGGCGACGGATAGACCTCCGTGGCGATCGTGACCGGCGGAGGTGGCGCGGATTGGGGAGAGTGAGCCAAGAGCAGCGGGCATCGGTCTCCCGACGACGCGGAGGAGATCGGCGAAGCAGCCAACGGCGGCTGTTGGTCTCCCGGTGGCGCAGTCGTAGTTGTTCGGGCGGCGCGGAGCAGATCGACGAAGCAGCCGGCGAGCAGCGACGCGGGTGGGAGATATCGGCGGCGAGGCGCAACGGTGGCGGTCGAGGGCGGCGCGGGGCGCGGGTCTAGGGTTCGTCGGCAATTGAGGGCGGCGCGGGGCGCGACGACGGCGGCGAGGAGGCGGCACGGGTCGCAGCGTCGACGGTCGAGGGCGGCGCGCGACGCGGGACGCCGGGCGTGGGTCTAGGATTCGTCGGCGGTCGAGGGCGGCGAGGAGGCAGCGGCGGTCGAGGGCGGCGAGGGGCGTCGGCGTTCGATGGCGGCGAGGAGGCGGCGGCGGTCCAGGGCGGTGGCGGTGGAGGGCGCGCGGGGCGTCGGCGGTCGAGGGCGGCGATGAGGGGGCGAGGAGGGTGCTTGGGGCAGCAGCGATGGAGGGCGCGCGGAGGAAGGGGCGACGGCGGCTAGGAGGCGGTGCGGTCGAGGGACGCGTGGGACGCGGGACTCGCGGGACGGGGCGCGGGTCGCGGGGCGTCGACGCTTTTTACGCTTTTTTCCGTTCCGGATCGCATGTACTTTTTTTTTTTTTCGTCGCTCTCGCTCCAATCATGTCGACGTACGTTGGATCCTATGTTTGCTTTGGTTTCACCATCACCAATCCAGAATTTTTAAGGAGTAGAGATGCACAATTGCATATATTAGTATGATCTAGAAAGACTTGCCCGTAGATTTTGTGTTCTTTCTCTAGTTGCTAATTATTGTGACATGATACCGACCTCACGTCCACGTCACGATCCTCTGACGTTGGGAAAACTACGTCAGAGGGCAGTAGCTCTTCGATCCACCGTCCCCCAAGCATCCAACGCTACTGATGAATAGCACATCACTGGATCTCGTTCCCCACATCACTGTCCATCAAGCCATTAGCGAGTTCTCACGTCTCATGGTCAACACCCCCAAATCCAATCGCCAAATCCTGGCTTCAGTGCCCGTAGGCGTGCTACACTACAAACAGTGGACGTGCCATGCCACGACAGTGTGTCGCGGGCTAGCGGCAACTTGGCGATGCAATGATGGGCTTTTGGCTGCTCCCGTGGTCTGTGATATAACGCTCCACAAACATGCAAGCTCAAATTCAACTTCTATATCTCGTAACAAAAAAAACAAATTAACCGCAACTAGTTAACGTATATTCAGAGTCAAATTTGTTTTTTTCGTTGCGAGATGTAAAAGTTAAATTTTTACATGCATGTTTGTGGAGTGATATATCACGTGTAAATATATCTTCTCAATTTTTTCATAGCCATTTAGATCCCACCCTAAAATTTTGATATCACCTTAAAATTTTTCACCCTGTCACATCGAACGTTTGAACACATGCATGAAGTATTAAATATAGGCTTAAAAAAATAACTAATTGCACAGATTACGACTAATTTGCGAGACAAAATTTTTAAGCCTAATTGCTCCATGATTTGACAATGTGGTGGTACAGTAAACATTTGCTAATGATGGATTAATTAGGCTTAATAAATTCGTCTCGTAGTTTATAGACAGAATATGTAATTTGTTTTGTTATTAGACTACGTTCCGTATATCCGATATGACACGCCAAGACTTTTCACCCTTGTTTCTAAACACCCCCTACATCCAAACAACGAGGATCAAAATCCACTTCCGGTCTGTGCACCGCGGCCGCGGCTCAGTTCATCGCCGTCCTGAGCGACAGCGCGGCCGCAGGCGACCTGTTCCTCGGCGCCGCCATGCACACGCGGTACGCCAAGTCGCACCTCCCTTTCAGTGCTGTCAGCATGTGCCCACACTAGGAAAGTCGGTGAATGTTGGGAGTATTTTTACTAAATGAAGCACAAATATGGCATCGAACCTTGCGAAGAACACTACTCTTGCATGGTTGACGTACTTGCCCGTGCCAAGAACTTTGAGAAGGCTGAGGAGTTGACTAAAGAAATGCCTTTTAACCTTAGTTCAATTGGTTGGACTTCCTCGCTGAGTGCTTGTAGGACACATGGAATCATGGATCTTAGAGCAAGAGCAGCCAAAGAGATTCTCAATTTGACTCCTTACAGTGCATCAACACATGTGGTGCTCTCAAATATTTATGCCACTGTTGGCAAATGGGAGGAGGCTGCACAAATCCGGAAACTATTGAGAAATCGGGGAATCAGAAAGAAGCCTGGCTGCAGCTGGATAGATCTTGGCAGAATAGTACATATTTTCGTTGCCAATGATATCTCACATCCTAGGATCAAAGACGTGTACAAATTCTTGGAGGTGATGTCAGAGAAGATGAAGCTTGCAGGGTATGTTCCAGATAAGATATGGGCCTTGGCAAAGGATCATGCTGCCGGAGGGGAGACAAGGCTAAGGCACAATAGCAAGAAGCTTGCACTAGCATTTGGTTTGATTAATACAGTAGAAGGAGAACCTATACTTGTGATGAAAAATCTAAGGACACGTGGAGACTGTCATAATGCCATCATAATCATCTCTGCCATAACTTTCAGACAGATTACTGTTAGAGATGCACATCGGTTCCATTGTTTCAGCGATGGAAGCTGTTCCTGTGGAGATTATTGGTGAGACAGAAAAGTTGACTCAAATTCATAAGAAAGATGAGATTCTGTTTTGTTTCAATGATTACATCGGATGACCATCATAGTTCTTCACCACACTAGACTGGAATATAGTCAATTTGGTCAAAGTAGCAGCACGTATGTCAAACTTTCAGCTTCCCTAAAAACTTGAGTTGTCCCAATTGCTACTAAGATCCTCAGTAGAAAAGCCATTGAGCTATGAATTTATCTGAAGCTAATGACTCAACTAGCTCACCTCACAACCCACCTTCATGGTATAAATCTTGTCATCTTATCTTGCATAATAGTTTTTACATGATGAAGCATTTGCTGCTCAATAAATTTTATACCACTATTGTTTTTTAGGGTTCTCTTTAGTTAAGATCATTAAGACATTGTACTACTTGGAAGGCTAGTAAGCTGTGATGATTAAAACAATATTCAATGGTAAAGATTACATGAAATTAACTCTTGTTGACAATAGAAAGATACTAAAATTAATTGTTTGCTGGATAATGCAAGTAAGATCACTTACTTGAAGAAGAAGGTGTTCCTGATGCTGCCACAGGTTCTCCAGCTTTCTTGTTTTAGTATATGAACACGAGTTTAGCAGACGTTGCATCCCTTCATCAGTGTAAGACTCCAACTTTTGAATTTGTAGATGCTTGATGCTTGTACTGATATTACGATTCCAATTCTTCACTAATTAATAGTAAGAGAGAAATTGATCTTTTCTCGATACACCACTAAAAGCAGTAATAATCTACTAACTAGTTAAGCTTTTTATTGCGGGGATACTAACATAGTTAAGCTAACAACCTTTAGTAAACAAATGGTCATAGTACTATCAGATTGTGCTCAGAAATTGTTCTGGAACTACAAATGATATGACTATGTGTCTAAAACCATAAAAACAGATTGTGCCTTGTGAAAAGCAGACCCAAGTGGGATCCCTGATCAAATATCATATGTGGAATAAATATGTTTATATGATCAGCACATGTATTAATTCATGATCATGTCTCATGGATCATGGTATAGAGATACCAAATTAATAATGTGGACACATGTTGATGAACATGTTGGATAGACCCAACATGAGACACTGCAAGAGCCATATGTGTTGTGTCATCAGTGATCTCATTGAGTATTGGTGTTGAATCCTTAGACCTGAGATTATCATGGTTCTCAACATGTGTAATAGCTTACTTAGGGACTGCTAAACGCTACTCCGTAATTGGGTAGTTATAAAAGTAGTTTTCGGGTATGCTATGAAACATGTAGTGGGATATGAATAATCAAGATGGGATTTGCCCCTCCTATGGAGAGATATCTCTGGACCCCTCGATGTTGTAGATTATGGAAGTGTATGGCCATGCCAAAGGTGATTGAGGAGTCAATCATAAGTTATATAGTCTATCAACAGGTTCGAGTGAATGATTGAGCTATTAGAGGATGGCACATATCTAGCCTTGAGCTTAATCGATATCGTGAGGCAAAGGGGTTCATACAAGTATATACTAGAGGTTCAGCCGATATGATCTTTATGTATGCCCGATGGGTCAATAAGTTCTGCTACGAGCCACTGTTGACGCGTGGACCGAAAAGGAGTTTTCAGGTTACAGCCAAGTATACATGAACCTACAGGGTCGCACACTTAATGGGCCGGAATAAGAGGATTGGATAGAGATCCAATATGAGCTTAATTCGGATAGGGATCCGAATAGTAGTCCTACGGGCCTTGGAGGCCCGAGTGATGGATCCTATATATTCGTGAGGGGTGTGACCGGTGGAGGTGAGAAACCCTAGCCGTCACTTCCCTACCCGAGCAAAACCCTAGCCGCGCGCGGGTGCTAGCACATCTGCACGGCGAGGAGAACGCACGAGGAGGAGAAGGCCGAGCCGGTGCGATCGACTACTTCCTCTACATCGACACGCGCTACTTCGCGAGAGTTCCTTCGACTTCTCAGCGTCTTCTTCCGCTGCACAGCGCATCGAGTGGTAACGATCTATGATCTAATACTTGCATGGTTCCTGGTTTACGCGATAGAAAATTTTGATTTATGCTATCGTAGCCTACGCGTATCCCAACAGTGGTATCAGAGCCGCCTTGTATAGTTTATGATCTAGATCATTGCATATAATTGATATGCGGATGTAGTAGATGAGATGTATTATGTTGTATATGAGTTCTTAGGTGATCGGAACATGAGATGAACCGATAGCCACATGGGTTGATGAGATCAATCGGTATGTATGTTGGTGACTTCACTAGAATGTTTAGTACTCACCAACGCCGAGCGCGAGTGTGTTCATCGGATAGTCCGATGTCCACTGGAACCGCACGCCAATGAGAAAAACAAGCCAATGAGATTGACTCGGTTTCGGCATAATTTGATTACGCCGTTAAGGTTTTCACCCGCGGGGGACGGCTCTCCCCTCGACCCCCTGCCCGCTAACCGGCTAGCGGGACCGCCGTGTGCGTTGCCCCTTAGATTTCGCTTGGGTTTTATTATATCTATCTTACTTTATTGCTGTTATATATTTGATATGATATGGTAGGATAGATTCCCTCAGAAAAATTAAGTAATTTATGCTCTTCCAATAATTGCACCTATTACGGTTGTGATCATAAGTGATGGGTTTGCCATAGCAAAGTGTCACTTTTTATCATGATAAAATAGGATAGATATCGGACATCTATATGCGGAGATCATTGGTTTACTTGACAAGGTTATCAAAACAGTTTTGGACCTTGGGGCATAGGTTGGGTTGGACATGGAGATGTCACCCCAATAGCACAAGAGTCACATATGATGTGATTAGCAAGGTGTTGCTTACCTATTTTGATAGTTGTCTAGCTGTGATGCCAAAGCTTACTAGACACTAATAAAATGAGGATCTTGACTCACTATGTTACTAGAGGGAATTTTAT